TATTCTTATGCATGCCAGTGCTGTGTGTGAGGTAATTTAAGGTGGTTCTGGCAAGTGTTGTCGGCATCTTCATATCCAGTCACATGGGCGGCAAGCCACTCCCATCCGGTCACATGGGCGGCAAGCCACTCCCACAAAGAAGGCCACACCCACATAGTAGGTTCGAACAATTTTTGAAACCCACCACAGTAGCAGACCCACCAAACTGGTAGCAGACTTCAGAGACACTGCTGGTTAGTGGCTTCCAAAAGCCGTTCTGGCGGGAAGGAAATAGGCTGTCGAGGACCACGTTGGATTAATGGCGGTCTTTCTCTCCAGTTGCTGAGCTGGTAGTTTCCCACACAAAGGGAATTTCTCAGCTGGCAAACAGAGCAGGGGGAAAAAAAGGAGGCTCCCATCCTTCACTCTCATCATCCCTCTGAGTTTTAGAGAGTGTGTGCATGTGTGCCAGGCACACTTGTGTTCCCACTCAAAAGCCATGTCTCCTTTTTATAAAAAGAGGATTCCGGGTTTAATGGCCAGCTTCTGTCCGGAGAAATTAATGCAATATTCCCGTTTCAAACGATGCTTGACGTCTGTTTTGGTTCCTACAGCTGGCTTAACTGCATTGGTTGAAGATGTAGTGGTTGCCTCTACGCAGAGGGCAAAGTTTGGCTGACAGTCAATATGGTGTAGTGCTGTGATGTGCCCACTTGATTAATTTAAGATTCAGTGAACGCAGGAGGTGGACTAATTAATTGACCAAGATAATAGTGTAGGGTGAACTCAGCCGTTTAGCATCCTTGCCAAACCTATTAATGCGGAGTGCAGTTAAGGAAACAAGATTCACCCACACCTTCTGGAATGCATTTTACTGCTAAGAATTAAGGGTTAAGAGTACAGAATCTGGAGATGAGTGAGAGGAACTTTCTCCTGTCCTCTGATCGTGAGTTCAATAGGTGGGGCTTTCAAAACTTTTTAATCTTTTTTTCCTCTGGGATGACTGATCGATGGACTAAAGATTAGTTTACAGAATCAGGTTAGGTGGACATGGAGAAAGATACTAGGTATGAAAGATACTAGGCAACCACACGGAGGAGAGCCTTTTCAGTAGTAGCTCCAACCCTTTGGAACGCCCTCCCCGTGGA